ATAGGGTATGAAGATTTTACCACATGGAAGTCCATGTGTTCACATGGGCTGGAAATTTCCGCCAACAATCTCCCCCTCCAGCCCCATGGGAGGAGACTTAAACCTTGACTCCTTACTTGGAGTCCATCCCGGCCAACTTCGTGCAATATTCAAACTTTTCCCTGGGAAGAACTTTTTTCATCATATCAGCAACATTGTTGTTTGTGTGAATCTTTTTGAGTTAAAACTGCTTGTTCTCTGTCACCAAGCGCAACCAGTGATATCTCAGATCTATATGTTTTGTTCGGGCATGGTACATAGTATTCTTGCTCAAATCTATAGCACTCTGGCTGTCACAAAATACTACATTCTCTTTCTGCTTCAATCCCAATTCTTGTAGGAATCTCTTCATCCAAAGCATCTCTTTACCAGCTTCTGTAGCTGCAATGTATTCAGCTTCGGTTGTTGACAAGGCAACACACTTCTGCAATTTTGATTGCCATGATACAGCTCCCCCTGCAAAAGTGAATAAATACCCTGAAATAGATTTTCTATTATCAAGGTCACCTGCCATGTCTGCATCTGTGTATCCCTTTAGAATTGGTTCAGTTTGCCCAAATGTCAAACACAACTTGGTAGTTCCTCTCAGATATCTGAAGATCCACTTAACAGCTTCCCAGTGAATCTTGCCTGGATCGGACAAGAATCTACTCACAACACCAACAGCATGGGCAATGTCTGGCCGTGTACATACCATTGCATACATCAGTGAACTGACTGCAGAAGAATAAGGAATAAGTGACATTTTCTCCTTTTCTTCTTTGGTAGTTGGACAAGATTGTTTACTTAGCTTGAAGTGATTTGCAAGAGGAGTGCTAACTGGCTTAGCATGTTTCATGTTGAACCTTTCAAGCATCCGTTCAACATACTTCTCCTATGATAACCACAACTTCCCAGCCTTTCTATCACGGGTAATAGCCATACCCAAAATTTGCTTTGCTGGTCCCAAGTCCTTCATGTCAAAGGACTTTGATAACTCCTCTTTTAACCTGCAAATTTTCTCAACATCTTGTCCCAAAATCAGCATATCATCAACATATAACAAAAGGATAATGAAGTTGCCATCAGGGAATAATCTGATGTAGACACATGGATCTGCATTTGTTTTTTGGTAACCATGACTCATCATAAAAGAGTCAAACTTCTTATACCATTGTCTTGGAGCTTGCTTTAGTCCATACAAACTCTTCTTCAATTTGCAAACCATATGCTCCTTCCCTTGTTCTTCAAAACCTTCTGGCTGATCCATATAAATTTCCTCATGCAAGTCACCATGAAGAAATGCAGTTTTTACATCTAACTGCTCAAGCTCAAGATTCATGCTTGCTGCTAGACCAAGCACAACTCGAATTGAGCTCATCTTCACCATTGGGGAAAATATTTCATCAAAATCAATCCCCTTTTTCTGACTGAAGCTCTTTACCACCAGCCGAGCCTTATATCTAACTATCTTGTCACCATCTTTCTTGAGCTTGAACACCCATTTGTTCTTCAGGGTTTTTCTTCCTTTGGGAAGTTCCACAAGCTCATAAGTATTGTTTTTATGTAGGGAGTTCATTTCTTCTTGCATAGCCTTCATCTAGCAGTTTTTATCTTTGTGAGACTGCACCTCTTGGAAGTTCTCCGGCTCCCCCTCTTCAGTGATCAAGATATAATCAGAACTGGAGTATCTTGCAGATGGTTTGTGCTCTCTGGTGGACCTTCTCAACTGAGGTTCTTCCTCTTGTGGCAAGGGTTGCTCCCCTTGCTCATCATTTCCCCTATCTACACTTGCTTCTTCTTCTTCAATTGTTGGCTCCTCTGTCTCATCTTCTGGTGCTTGCACCTCTTCTTCATTTGTAATTTTTCTTGAAGGAGTTTTTGTCGGTGTTAAATCTTCCACACCCTCTCCAGAACTTCTTGTAGCTTTGTCCTCCTTCAAATCATTAATTTTCTCGTGTTCATGGAACACGACATCTCTACTTCTGACAGTTTTCTTCTTTTCTGGATCCCATAGTCTATAGCCAAACTCCTCATCACCATATCCAACAAAAATGCATGGAATGGCTTTATCATCCAGCTTGGATCTCTGTTCCTTTAGCACGTGCATAAATGCTTTGCACCCAAACACTCTCAAGTGAGAGTATCCAACATCCTTTCCCGTCCAAGCTTTCTCCAGGATTTCAAAGTTCAAAGGAACTGAAGGCGACCGGTTGATCAGATACACTGTTGTGTTGACTGCTTCACCCCAGAATGGCTTAGGTAGAGTTGCCATTCTTAGCATGCATCGAACTTTCTCCACAATGGTACGGTTCATCCGTTCTGCAACACCGTTGTGTTGTGGTGTGCCAGGAATTGTCTTTTCATGCCTTATGCCATGCTTGGAACAGTAGTCTCTGAATTCTTTGGAGGTGTACTCCCTTCCATTATCTGTATGGAGACATTTCAACTTCAACCCTGTCTCCCTTTCCACCATAGCATGGTAATGCTAGAAATACTTGAAAACTTGGCTTTTATTCTGCAACAAGTATACCCAAGTCTTCCGAGTTGCATCATCAATAAAGGTAACAAAATATTTATTGCCACCAAACGACTCTACCTCAAAGGGACCACAAACGTCAGAGTAGACCAAGTCTAGCTTGTTCTTCTTCTGAGTCAAATTCTTCTGAAAAGAAACTCGGTGTTGCTTTCCAAATAGACAAACATCACAAGGATTCACATATTCACCTTTGGCCATGGGAATAAGGGACTGCTTAGCCAAAAGTTGCAATCCTTTCTCACTTATGTGAGCTAATCTATTATGCCATAAATTTGGAGAAGCCTCATCTTCAATTGTGTTCAGTTGACCTCCACACATTTTCATGTGTGTTTTGTATAATGAGCAACATGCTCTCCCTTTTGCCACCACCATTGATCCTTTGGTGAGTTTCTAGTTGCCATTCCCGAAGTAGTGTGCGTATCCTTCTTCATCCAGTGCTTTTGTAGACAATAGGTTCATACGCATATCAGGAACATGTCGCACATTTTTTAGTGTCAATGTGCACCCAACATTTGTCTGGACACAGATATCACCAACTCCCATAATATGAGAAACACTCTTGTTTCCCATTTTTATGGTGCCAAAGTCTCCTGCTTTGTATGTTGAAAAATATTCCCTTTTGGGAACACAATGATAAGAGGCACCAGAATCAATTATCCACTCGGCATCTGAGTTTTCTACATGGCAGCACTCCCCACGATCACATAATAGAGTCACGTCACCGCCACTGGTAGATGCTACAGCGGTTGTATTGCTATCTTCAACCTTTTTCTTGTCTTTTCCTTTCAACAAGTAGCAATTCCTTTTCATGTGACCTAGCTGGACACAATGATAGCATTTCACTCCACTTTTGGACTTTGATCTGGATCTGCCTCCTCGTCCTCTGGGTTCTCTGGTTTTACTCCTGCCTCTATTCTCCATGACAAGAGCTTGAGTATCTGGTTGCGAGAAGACTCCAAGTGCCCGCATCCTTTTTTCCTCTTCAAAGATCTTGTTTTTGGCAATTTCCAGTGTGACTTGACCACCAAGAGATGAGTTGATTGTTGTTAATCTAAAACTCTCCCATGATTCCAGCAAGGTGTTAAGAAGAATCAGACCATTCACTTCATCATCAAAGTTTATGCCCAAATTGGCTAATTCCTTGATGATGCCAAGGAAATCATTAACATGGTTTGCTGTGGGAGTGCCATCTTTGTACCTTGAATACATTAATTTCTTTATATGGCACAATTTATTCTGCCCAGTCTTCACCCGGAAAAGCTGATCTAACTTTGTCCATAGTGTGCATGCATCAGTTTCATCATTTATATGATTCAGCACACTATCATCAATCCATTGCCAGATAAATCCACACACTCGCCTATGGAGTAGCCTCCATTCTTCATCCTTCATGCTGTTTGGCTTTTGCTCTGAAAAGACAGGCTCATGAAATTCCTTCACATAAAGAAGGTCTTCCAGTTTCCCCTTCCACAGCTAATAGTTTGAACTATTCAGCGTGATCATTTTGCTCTGGTTCACCTCCATTGTTCACGTGAATATTAGTAGCGCCTAGCTCTGATACCAGTTGTTGGGAAAAATGGCGCAGCGAAATAAAATAATTTCTGTGAATAAAACACGTGAACAATAACAAAGAACGGTGAAACAGGCGGCTTAGCCGACCAATATTAACAGTTAGTGAAAAAGATGGTTTAGCCGACCAAGCAAAATAAAATGGGCGGTTCAACCTGCCACTTAAGAAATATAAATAAAATGGGCGGTTCAACCAGCCACTTAAGCGGGAAAATAAACAAGCAAAATAACACCAAATTTTATGTGGAAAAACCCCCAAAAAACTATTAAGGGAAAAAACCACAGGACAAACTCCGAAGGGTATTCCACTATATGATAAAATTGTACAGAGTATACACTCAAATATTTTTCTCTCTCTTGGTGTTTTCCACTCCCCCAGGATATGATCACAATCCTGATAAACTCACAATTTTTATCACTCAATGTACTCTCTCTATGGAGCACACTCACATCTAAGCTTAATGCCTAGCTCTCACCCCTTTTTTTTTCTTTCCTTTTCCCTTTCCCCGGAGCCCTCTTTTTTGCTCACTTTGGTGCTGCACTCTTTGCTTCTTGCTTGCTTATTGCC